CTCGAAAAAAGATTCGTTCATTTTGAACAGGAGAGTCACGAACGTGCGTCACAGAACAGAGCAAGGCGAGCATTTGTGCTTATAAAACTTAAACTTTTTTATTTATTTTTTAAATGAGCGATCGTTTCGCTTGATAAGACCCTTATTCATCGTCTGGTGTCGTTTAAAGCACTTTGAAGCTGCACTGAAACTCTCATTTGGACCTTGAACCGTTTGGACCCCATTGAAGTCCATTATATGGAATGTTTTCATCAAAAACCTTAATTTCTTTTCGACCGAAGGACATCTTGGATGACATGGGGGTGAGTAAATTATCAGCAAAAGGTTTTTTTTCGTAAAGGGGCACTAACTGGACTTGCTGAAGCCAGAGATACACTCCTCCAGGAACTCCAGGGTCAGATGAGGCTCATTAGCTGCTAGAGTCTTGCTAATGGACACGATGAAAAGGGTGTTATTGGCAGGGATGCAAAGGCCAGAGGTTTCCAAAAGCTGGCCTTCGATCTTCAGGTTAAAGGTGCAAGTTAAGGCACACAGGAGGTTATAAGCGGCAGACCTTTTAACAAAAACAGAGAGAAGCGTAAATATTCAGCCATTGAGACCACTGTTGATTTGATTGGATAATTCATCACCTTAAACTGGGGTCAGAGCTGCCCAGGTTGAGAAGGGCGATGTTGAGAAGAGTTCCCGGAACATCTTTGGGCCTGATCTTGGTGTGCTGAGGGATGGAGTCGGGCTGGGAGAGCTCCCAGCGCGTACGGATGTGGATGATGGAGTGAACTATGCTCTCACACTCCTGGTGCATGAAGGTCAACGGCGTACCCTGGTTAGCGATGGTTAGCGTGAACTGGTTTTCATCCACTAGGCAGATCTCTTCAATCTCCGAGGCGTAGTAGATGTCATTGAGGAAGACAGACTGACCCAAGACTCGTGTTCGCTCGGCTGAGGTCACCTGCACCGCCGTACTGCCCACCTGGAGCAAAGGGAGAATCAAAAATATTGAGATTAGGGCTGTCAGTTTAACGATGTTAATGCAAACCCAGTTTAACGGCGTCAATTTATTTATTGCGCGATTAACGGTCTTATTGGCCTAGCAAACTTTGTAGTTTTTTTCTTATGCTTTTGCAACAGGATGCAAACCCATATTAGGGATGGGCAACGATTAATCGCATCCAAAATAAAAGTTTGTGTTTACATAATATATGTGTAAATACACACACACATGAATGTATATATTTAAGAAATATTTGCATGTATATATTTTATATATATGTATACATAATTAATATTATATATAAATATTTGATATATTATTATATACATGCATGTGTGGGTATTTATATATACAAATTAATTATGCACACCACACACACATATATTATGTAAACACAAACTTTTATTTTGGATGTGATTAATCGAGATTAATCATTTCTGACTTTTTGGATAAATGTAAAAAACGTGATCCCATTTAGCAAAATACTGTGTAGATCAAATAGTAACACTCAGCACCATAATGACCAAAAATGGCCCATTGAAACCCATTAAAACGTTGTTTAAATCCGAGGCTGTCATTAATACATGAAACATGATTTTTGCTTAAACATCCTTTCATTTTGAAGCAAAAGCATTTTATTTGCATTATATAGTGTATTCCACCAGATGACATCACTATATATGTACTGTATTCCCTATGGGTGGAAATGCACCTTATTTTCCTGGTTTCCAATTAAAGGGTTAAAATCCTGAAATTGAATACATTTTTGGTAGTTATGATGAGGACTGATGCTGATTAAAAGATTTAACTTGGTAAAAGTGGAAAATAATAATAATGCATAATATTTTAGGCAATGTTTAATATGGGGCCATTTTTGGTCTTTAAAAAATCTGACATAACACAAAATCTTTAAATGCACCAGAAATAATGTTGCTGCTAATCTTTGACATATTCAAGACTGTGATGATCCAAATCTAAAGTTTTCTCTTTGCATTTAGTTTATTGAAAATAATTGAATTTTTCAATTTGAATCATTGATGGTTTCGCCAACAAAACTGGTAATTAAAGGGTTAAAATCCTGAAATTGAATACATTTTTGGTAGTTATGATGAGGACTGATGCTGATTAAAAGATTTAACTTGGTAAAAGTGGAAAATAATAATAATGCATAATATTTTAGGCAATGTTTAATATGGGGCCATTTTTGGTCTTTAACACGCTAAGTGTGATTTTTTTTTTTTAAATCTCACATAACACAAAATCTTTAAAAGCACCAGAAATAATGTTGCTGCTAATCTTTGACATATTCAAGACTGTGATAATCCAAATCTTAAGTTTTCTCTTTGCATTTAGTTTATTGAAAATAATTGAATTTTTGTGTTACACAAATTGATGGTTTCGCCAACAAAACTGGTAATTAAAGGGTTAAAATCCTGAAATTGAATACATTTTTGGTAGTTATGATGAGGACTGATGCTGATTAAAAGATTTAACTTGGTAAAAGTGGAA